TTTCCCTTATTCCAGGAAATTTTACTGTTTATGCCTTGTAAATAAGGGCATCTTTTCTGTAACTCAGTGACATGTCAGAACATGAGTAAATGTGTTGGCGGGTTATGCTCCAAAGCTTTGGCAATATAGATTATCACTCCTAAGTCTGTTCTTGACCAAAACACTTCTAAAAATTTACTTACTACCAACGAAAACTGCCTGACTTCCCACAGGTAAGCATGATCAGTGTCTGACACATTCTGTCTCTCATTCCTGCATACCCTGTTCATACAGCAATAACTCATTCTTGTCTCATTCCCTCCACCTGGCCTATCGCCATAGTGGCTGAGGAGAGGCAGGGGACCAAGGAGAGACTATAGGAGCCACCTTGCATGTTAAGACCTGTGCTTAAATGCCAAGATTAAACCTACTGGCTTAATATGTTGGTTTCCCACCACACAGCTCATTCCCACTGAGCTCCCTCCAGTCCATTCCTCTTCTTTGCTACTCAGTTACCAATGCAAAATCCGATCTTTAGATCCCACTGTAACAGCCGATAGTTTCACTGGGCTCCAAAGCCAGGTAACATGGACAAGGAAAGATTTGGTGTGTGTTGTATAGAAGTTTTGTTCCCAGGAAGCTTATCATACCATCTTTGTCATCTCATAAAAGGCAAAAGACCTGCAGCAGTACGAGAGAGTACAGTTATACATCGTAAGGGCACTTAACAATGGTGACAGAAATTTTTGTGCATAATAAATGGATGACCACGTGTGTGTTCCTGCCAACAGAATGCGGAAGGACTGCCATGCAGCTCACCACGAGAGAGGAAATGTTGAAGAGGTGGATGGTGTAGGGGGTTCTTCGTCTAGCAGCAATCGCGCAGGCAATTCAAGCCAGAGCAGTAGCTCGCAGCCTACCAGAGATGGAACACCTCAGTTGCAAGCTTCATCTCAAGAGGTCCACCAGCGTGCAGGTACCTGCACAATTTACTTGGCTTTCTCTGTAGTCCTCTCCTGAGGGGTCATGCCACATAGGCACGGGTTTTTGGAGCGTGCTTATATCCAGTGGAAAACTAATTTTAGAAAGAGGGAGCTTTGGCTTTTCTGATGACCAAGCATGCAGAAGAGATGGCTTCCTGATACTGTTCCGAGTATTTATGGGAAGGGGGGAATAAGACAAATGTGATTCACCAAAGGTGCTGTTGTCAAACTTCTTTACATGTAACTTTTGGACTAGGAGGTTCCACTAGCAATGCCAGAATGAGAAATGCGGGTGTGAGAGAGTCTAGCTGTGCAGCGGAGAGAGCCCGTACCACAGTGAGCCTGGGATTCCTGTTGGCTGGGAAGTGAAAGTATGAAAACATCTTAATTATCTTGGAAGGACCATGACAATTTATTTGAGGAATTAGTTTGACTGTTCATCAGCACATGTGGAGAACAAACAAATTGGAAATAACTTTTTATGTTTCTACAGCAGTTACCAAAAGAAAATTAAATGTTGTCAATTGTTCTGTCAACTAACATCTAAGCCCTTCTCACATTAAATTATGGAGTCAAAAATACTGCAGACATATCCACAAGGTAGAACTACTGGCCTTCGCACTGGAAATATACATTAAGTTTGGCAGTGGGTCACTGAGAGACCAATTGCTGTGGGATCAGGACTTTTAACACCAATTAACTCAACCTTTCAACAAGTTGTGGTTATTACTGTACACATTAAAGGACAGGACTAGAGGGCTATGACATTTGTTTGTTTCCTGTTAGAGCATTTTGACCTCTCATTAAAGATAATAGACAGGACTAGAGAAAATCTTGCCCTGAATATAAATCATGTTGCAAGAATAAAATAACTGCTGCTTTTAATTGAGTTTAGCATTAGAGGAATCCTCATGTGCATACTCATAACTTGACATGGCAGTAATCAGAATGGCAGACTTAATTGTGAAATAATGATCCTGAGCACGCCATACAATAATGAAAGTTAATTATGAGTCGTTTAAAAGGGTGTACTGGGCGCCCAGAAAACCACAATCAAGAGAGAAGGTCACAGTTAAGTAGAGCAACCTGGCTTTGAGGTAAAATGAAGAAATGCACAACAAATGCAGGGAAGTGGAAAATAGCAAATGCAAATCAGTTTTCAGTCCTTAGAGACTACTGATAAGAGAAAGAGAATTGAAACAAGGAGAAGTTTCTGGCTAGCACCATTAGGGCAAAAAGATGAAAGTGGGTTTGTGGGGTTTTATTTTTAGAGATTGCTAGAAGAAAAAAAAATCCTAAACAGTCATCTCAACCCACACTATACAGAATGGCAGAGTTGTCAAGGTGTAGAAATGAGAAATGTCTGGTTTGTGTTGTGAAAAATGCAGATGACCTGTTTCTGTGATCTGATCATGAAGTAGTTCCATCCTAACAGCTACAAAGAACATGAAGGAGTTGCTATAAAAGCTATATGCTTAACTGAGCAAATCCAAATGACTCTCATTCAGGAAGGTTTTTAAGAGAGAACTGGTTAAATAGCAAGCTCTTTTTGATCTTCAGTAGGTATCGGGACACTTCAGGCAGTTCCAGAGGATGGGGAAAGAACTCATGCTATGCCCATTGCTTAAAAACCAGAATGATAGGGTTACTTGGATAATGCATGTCTGTCGATCTGACTTTGGTTCAGGATGCTGTTGGCCTGCTATGCGCAGTCCTAGTGCCCTGATTTTAGAAGGGCATTTTTGATTTGGAAGAGGTTCAAAGAAGAGCCAAAAAATGATCAAAGATCTGGGAAATACATCCTGTAGATTAAGAGCTTTCAAACAATTTATATTATAACAGATGCTTTGATCACAGTCTGCAAGTACTTACCTGGGCAACAAAAGATGCCCAAAGACTGCTGATTCAAGCAGACTTGGATGTAAGAGAGCTAAACAAATTCAGATTTGAAATCAAGAACATACTTTTTAAAGTGAGAGTAAATAAATAGTGAAACAAGCGACTGAGGGTTAAAGAGGGTTCTCCGTGACTGGAGATACTGGATGCATTTCTTAAAAATCGCAGTAGCAATTAGTAATACCACACAGACGTTAATTCCAGGCAGTTCTATGGCCCATGCTATACAGCACAGCAGACTAGATGATCACATCAGTCCCTTCTAGACTCATAATCTATGAATTGAGTGCATTTAGTGTTTTCATATTTCATATTTCATTTTGCAACCTGGTGCCACTGAGTCTGCAAATGCAATGAAAGCCCTATATAAAAGTGCAACCAAAATCAGGAGCATTGGTGGATACGTGTGGGGTTCTTCCCCAAAGTGTCCTTATTTCATGATGCAGTTTATAGAACAGCCTTTGTTTCCTAAGTGTTTTCAGGGACAAGAGTTATTTATGTGTAGACACGGGTGGTCTCCTGTCCAATGCTCTAACCACTGCATTTAGGATGAATATAGAATACTTTTGGACAGGGGTCAGCTTGGCAGTTTAAATCACAAACAGATGTTTGGCCACGTTAGCCCCTGCACAAACTAACACACCGCAGCCCCTCTGTTCTTAATTCCAGTCTGTTCTTTTTATTCAGAAAGGGTAACGTAGTCAAATAACCATCAGATGTAGAAACCAAGCACTTCAGCAAAACCCCAGGGTCTGAAGAAACTGAATCCCTGTGGAGGCCAGATATGCACTCAGCTGCCCGCGCAGCAGCCAGGCCTGACCCCAGCGCAGTGCGTGCCCTCCTTGTTGATCACATCTAAGTGCCAAGGACATTGGTAATGTGGCACACAGGAGCCATATGCATCTATCCTGTTGCTCTTAAGCAGAGACATTGGGGCTTTTATTACAGAGAATGCTGCTTTGCATTGCATGTCTTAGGAAAATTTTATTGTTTGGAGTAAAAAAAGAACTACAGATACAGTGTAAAAGGGGTGTGAAAGTGTCCAGTGCTTGCCAAACCAACTAGGTTTTAGTCCTGCGAAAGAGCTCCAGTTAGGTTGTAGACCAGCTCTGCCATCTGACTTTCTGCCAAATAACCTAAATTCCCTTTGCATCAGCATCTGAAAAATGGGGCTAATGATACCAGCCTCTGGAATGTGGGTCTGTGGATGTAAAACAGCATGTTTCAACTATATAATGTGAATAGTCTGGATATGAAATTCTGCATTACTGGAATCCTCATGAATGCAGCAAACAGTCATGTTTTTAGAAGATAGGGTGAGATTTATATTCCTTTATGCCTGCAAAATTTCACTGTCTGGAGGAGTTTCAGTGCTTCCCTCCCCTCCACAGTTTGGGTATTGGGAAAAAAAAATAAATTACCAACCTAGAAATACCTGCCAAAAACACTTGTTTCTGTGCCGATGGCTCTCAACAGAATTTCTGGCATCAACTCTCTACCCCACAGCTATAGCAAGGAAACCAAAATACCAGCTTGTGTTAATATTTGGAGTTTCCTGTAAAGCAGAAAAGCCAAGCAGGCACTTGCATGACTGGGTATGTGCTGTGTAAACCTGGGCTAGAGCCTGTCGTCAGAAACACGGGCTTGCCGTATGTGCCAGCCTGCTGTGTGCCATCTGCAGAGCGCCTGGGTACAAGCAGGTTTCTGGTGTGTTGACTGACCAGTAAGTTATTTTCATTCTATGCCTATTTAACTATGCAAGCATAAGAAATACAGAACTTACTTGTTTGAATAATGTAAGGTGTTGATATCAGTGTTAAAAATGGGGGTGTACATGTTCAGGAAGATAGTTGTCCAGGCACGTGACAAGAGCTTATCTAATACTCTCTGTATCCAACTCTCTATATCTGGTTAAGAGACACTTCAAGAGCCTTATATGGGTCTCATTCAGACCTCCAACAGACTACCCTAACTCAAGGTGTTCACATCTCTTCAGTCTGTGATATATATATCACTCTTGGAACTCAGACATAGTTTAATGTTAGTCTTAACAACTATCTGAATGCTGCAGTCTTCCACTTGGTTTAATTCTCATTTTCTCTTTCCCCATATGCAGGAATAATTCTTCTTAATGTGCCACTGTTTTAACTCACAGTTTTTTTATTTTACTGTTGCATTTAATTATACCAAGACATGTAAGTCAACGTCCCCTACTTTAGTGTGGTTGTCAAAGGGGAGTGGATTTATAGCAACACAATGCTCAGCCATTCACTGGGCAGGTTAAAATGTACATGGCAGAATAGGTGTGAGCCTGTGATTAGATCACTCTCCTTGGGCTGTCTTTCTTATTTTCCTCTCTTTTGACTGAGTGCAGAACCACTGGAGCTGTTCTGCCCAAAAGCCTGTAGTGGAAAACACAGAAAGGTTCATGGGTTTAGCCATTTGTTATTTCTGGTATTCTTGGGATTTTTATGCGGACAAAATTGGCACTGATATGCCAATAGTAATATGCGCAAGTGGGGCACTGTTAGCATGGAGTTCATCAGGACGCCACTTACTTAAATATATTAATCTTTCTTTTAAAGGCAGGAGAAAACCCAGGAGTCAGTCCATCCAGGCACACGCTGCTTTAAACCAAAGGCCTCCTGCTTCCAGTCACTCTGGACCCATTGTAGAAAACCGCCAGCCTTTCATGCAAACATCTACATCTGCCCATGAAATTGCCCGAAGGCTTTCTAGTAGTCAGCTGTCACTCCACAACTCAGCAACATCCGTGTTTTCCCAGTCCCCGGCTGTTCCTGTTGCAGGCCAGCTGACTGTGCAGGACAGAGCTGCAGCAATGCTCAGGTCCAGTCTGGCCTCTTCCACCAGCTCAACTCTCAGCCTGCTGTTCGGCAAGAGAAGTTTTTCAAGTGCTTTGGTGATTTCTGGGCTCTCAGCTGCAGATGGAGGTAACACCAGTGACACCCAGTCATCCAGCAGTATGAATATTGCCATGGGTCCATCTGCTAGAGCAGCAAGTCAAACAACTCGGGTAAGGCTGAAGCCAAAATAGCAGAATGAACTGCTGTCCTATCAGGTTCTTGAACAGTCCTCACCACTATTTGGTTTCTTCCTTCTCACTGGTCAGAAAACAATCTTCAGAAACAACATCAGGATTTTGGTATTTGTTTTGGAGTTTGCTGCATCACAGTGAAAATGAGACTGTTTAATATTAGCATGTATATGAGAGTGATGTATTTTTAAGTAATTGCATACTTAACAGCAGGGTAGCTGTTATGTATGCACCTGAAATTGCAAAATGGGGCAAAGTCCCTCTACTTTACACTAAAAACCAGGGACTTACGTCTCCATTTTCTGCAGTCCAGGTGATGAGTGCCATCATAAGCAGACTAAATGGCTCCTTCCCTGCTTATGCAGGACTTAAATTATTTGTTCAAATAGGAACCATTCCCAGTCAACAGGGCACTTGTTCTGTCCCTTGCTCTCACCAGAAATTCAATCCAGGATGTGAAAACCTTGTTGCTGAAAGGGTTAGTCAAAGAAATCTGTAGGAAATATTTCCCAAAGGAAACCTGAATGCTCTGTGATTCAGCATTTGCTAACAGCAAAACAGTTCACACAAAGAACTTCAAGCCCTCTTCCCAGTAGGCTCCCATTTCTGTTCCCATCTTCCCTGGAAAATTCAGTGCACACAGTAGTGTTATTGTTTTATTGTCTACTTAAGTACATTTATTTAACTTCGGTTGCTATGAATTGCTATCCTGAACTTTGAAACTTTCATCACAGCACTACAGAGCAGTAATGTGAGAAGATGGACTAGAGATAAAAGGGCAACTACAACTACAGGTTGAGTGACAACATAATTAAAAGAGACTTTTACATTTGGCCTATTAAAATGGAAACGAAATTGGCAACAGGGGGAGACAGGGATATAGAAAGTCCAAATCACTTTTCTGCTACTATCATTCTGAACTGTGTATAACTTTCCTAATTTTCAAAGAATTCTCTAAACCTCAAGTGAAAAAGGCTCCTTAGTCTGTGTGTATTTTGCTCACACCCCAAAACAGTAGGATTGGTATATTTCCCTGGAGTTTTGCCATGAACTGCAACAGAAGCTGACTGAGCATTACTCATCTGGGTTCAATCCTGCTTTATTACTCTAATGAACATTAATATTTCTACATGTACAGCTGAATGTATCAAATGACAAGGCATCATTCCAACTCTCAAAGAGTTTATAGCCTAATTTGCAAGAACAGAGCCAGTCTGCAGTACTGAGTACTCACGGTAGGATTCAACTTGTCTAACTTTAAGCCATCTAAAATTTGGGCCTGAAGTCACAGTAGGTTGTTGCTGTGGCCTCTGTATTCAGTGGAGAGGACAACCTACTTCAGCCTTACAGCTCTCAGGAAGAAATTTTCCCCTGGGACACTCATATCTGTCTGCCAACCATTGACAGTTCAGATGATACACTACATGATTCAATTTAGATGAGGTGAGTCCTGGCCAAAGTAACTGCGCAGAATCCAGGTGACTATTTGGCTGAAAGTGGTAAGGAGGAAGTGTTTCATTTAAAGGTTAACACAGCACAGTTCTGGAAAGTTTTTATACTAATGGACTCCTTACAGTGGGAGTGCATAACATTTCCAGACTGATAACTGCATTCCAGTTTTCATGAAAAGGTTTCTTTGTAAGCTGGATTTAAAATCTGGTGTATAAAGCAAGCCCCAGAGCAACCTGATTTAATTTCTTAGAAGTAAACCCTACTTCTAGCAGTGGTTTGGACTGGATGACCTCCAAAAGTCCTTTCCACTCTAAATTATTTTACAGCTCACTCTAAATTATTTTACAGCTCTCTCTACATGTACATCTGTGGTACTAAACCTCAAGCTCCTGGTCTGCTTTTCTTTCCAAATACATGTGTTTCCAAATACATGTGACACAAAATCCCTTGTGAATAACACAGGTTGAGAGTCCTCTGCAGTTTCAGAGAATGACATTCCTAAATCAATATTCATATTTTCACCTGTCACTTCAAAATTTAGCAGAAGTGTTACTCAGAAGTTTCTTAAACTACTTGACCTTTCCTTTCTTTCCAGCAACTCACCGAAACTTGTGAAGCAACCGATGCTACAGAACCCAGACCGCGGCGAGAGGCAGGTCCAGCCCATGCCATCTTCATGAGTCAGAACCTGGAGTGCAGGAGGGCCAGCCAAGAAGATATGGCCCTGGAAGACACCGCTTCCCAGCAAAGCCTGTCTGAGGAGCAATAAGGAGCATTTCTAGCGCAAGGGCCATGTGGTTCTTTGCATTAAAGACAGAGTGAGGTCAGGGAGCTGCACGGGGGTTTAGGTTCTTTCAGATGTAACAAGCAACCTCCAAATGTTTATTTTTCTAACTTCTACACAAGAACACTAAGGGGCAGATGTTCTTCAGCTAAAGGCCTTGGCATGGGTAGGGTCTGTAAGATGTCCTAAAAAACACACAGTGCCACTTCATCTCAGGTTCTTGTAAATCCTAGAACAATGACTACAACTTGTTCAATGTTCTTTCCCCTGGAATAGCTGGAATCACAAATCAATACAGTGGAAAATATTATACAACTCAGTGAAAAGCACACAAGACATCTCTTTCCTGCCAGAATTAAACAGCTGATTGCATGCAAACTAATTGGCATTTGATATATAACATATAGCAAAAGGCAGCTTTGAACAGGGGCAGTGAATATGTAAGAGGATAGTACAACATACACTGTAACTTAGAGCTACATCTGATTTTTGTTGAGCTTTTTTTTTCCAACAGCAAATCTCGTATTTTTCTTTAACATGTTATGCAGGTGGTAATTCTGAATAGCAACATAGCATCACAGATTGATATGCTGCATGCATTCAGCCATACTGAAATATTGTGTGAACGAGCCATGCTACACAGATTAACAGAAGTCAAACACGAGGAAAAGTATCCAGTGCATGGAAAGCCTTCAAAGCATATGGTGCACCTTATTTGCAAAGAAAGCAGCTTTGCATAAACAGCTGCTCTTGCATATTATCTCGTGCTCCTGGTTGGTTTACATCAGTGTTTCTCAAATTTCAGGCAACAGCCCCCTTGGAAGTAGCAAAAGGGCCCAGGGGAATTCTCCTCAAAGACAGGAAAGTGCAATGCAGGCTGTAATTATTGTATGGAAGTGTTTGGATTAGGAAGGGAGCAGCTAAATGCCTTTAATTGCCAGACACAGCTCAGTGTCCATGTAACACCTGTAGCCAGTAACTACAGACCATTCTGCTTTCCCACCCCCAAAGAAACTGAGCTGCAGCCAACTTAATAGTTGCATGAAGACAGATGATGCAAAAAGGGAGGCCACGCTTTTGCAAAGTTTGACAAACACTGATTTACAAGAATGAATGACTACTTTGGAAGCCTAAAGGCTACAACAAATCCTGCCTCTATGACAGCATCTAAACACACATGTGCCGTATTCTCATTATTTTTTTAATTAAAAACATTGCAGCTATCAGTGTCTTGCCATTCATCTTTACTGTAAGTATCATAGATTGTTTCTAATGCTCAACACGGTGATGTGCAGCCAGGCTGTCCTGTCCCAGTTAACAAGAAAGATTTAACAAGAGCTGCTGTAGCTAAAGTCCCATTACTGTTAGGCAATACACAGTTGCATTCTGAGCTTCCTACTGTGCCACACTTAAGATTTAAGTAGTTGAACTAAATAACACCTGCTGAAAATAAAATGATCCAAGTACATTTTGTGTGGCAGCAGTCTTTGGGTTTTTTTTTTGTATTTTGAATTGCCTTCTGCCTTATGAAAATGAGATATCTATTGTCTTTCTTTCACTTCAGATCTTGATGAATTGATTATTTGTAAAGCTCGGAACAACCTAGGCAAAATTTTGTTCACGTTTACAAGGGCAAAAGCAAAGTACTCATGTACAGCCCCAAGACGTAGTCTTCAGTGCAGTTTAGGCCCTACTAGTGTCTCCTGCAGCATCCAGCTGCAATGTGAAAGAGGAAATTGAATACGCCTGCTACCTTCTGACCATTTCTGGCAGATTGTACCTCACCTCTTACCACCCTGCTCATGAAGTGCTTCATTGCAAATGAAGAATGGAGGTTATACAGGTAGCTAGAGGACTCTTACTAATAGCCACCATCCCTGTTTCTGCCCTAGGGGCTTTTGCATGGCAGTCTACTATGACAAACCATCACTGCTTTGTCTTCCTAAGCCTTGCCTTGTGTGGAGGCAGGGGAAACAGATGGCTGGGGAAAGCACTGAAAACTTGCCCATATTCAGTTAGCCTCTAATTTTCACATCTTTATCTTAAGTTTGAATTAATTTCCATGAAAAGTAATTCATCCCAGTAGTTCTAATCAACCTAAATTAATCTGTGTATCTAGCTTAAGCACACTAAACCAGATTGGGAAACAGCTGCACAAATCCTTCCAGCAGCAAGTTGCTGTATCTGCTTAGCATGGACCGAGGCCCAGCAACATCACTTTCCCCCAGCACCACATCTTATGTGATTAATGTTTATCTCCATGGCCTCTGGTACTGCACCATAGGATACTGCACCTGCCTCATAGTTCTGACTCAGTTCAAGCCACTGGAGCATAGCTCCTTCAGGACAGCTGTATATCATGAAGCCCAATCTCCTGCTGCACAGGGTGGCTGCCAGAACAGGCATCCCCTAACTCCTTTGTTGAGGCACAAGCAGGACAGAGCAGGTGTCAAGGTGAGATTCAGAAATCAGTTCCTTTTCTAGCCATGTGGTAAGCAGTTTTTATTTGGCCTTAAATTTGTTACTGTAACATAGTGAATTGAAAAAACCCAAGGGTGACAACAGTAACAAAGACAAAATTACCAACAGTAACAAAGACAAAAAATATAAATTGAAGGTGACAGCACAAACTCACCCATGTTACATTTCTCCATCATTTTGGAGATAGTCTGCATAAGACTTACTGCAATATGTGGTGTTTTTAAGTATGGGCCAATCCTACAGAATAATCGGACATGATAGTTAGAAATAAAATCTGGAACTGGGTATGAGGTTGTACTGATTAAACACATCTTAGACCTCACACCGTGTCTGCATGAGGCAGACAGGCCCAATTGCTCTATACATGACAGAAGATGCATTTCAGGCTTTGATGCACACAAACGAGGTACCTAACCCTTACACAAGACCTAGTTTAAACAGTAAGGTGGGCAGAACAGCTCTGAATAGCACCAAATGGCACCTGAGTCCATAGGAATGCCATTCTCAGCACCATACAAATACACAAAGGCTTTAAGCCATTTTTTTATTCTTGAAAGACCTAAGCAGCTTGATACTTAACCTCATACATGAGGTGCTTCAGAACTGTAAGATGGAGGTGCCTGTGACACCTCAAGAACGCCCACCTGAGCAGTTTTGGATTCTGAACAAAAAGTAAAGGCAACTTAGACTGCTTTTAAGTGAGCTGCAGCACTGATGATAGGTTTCACAATGCATAATGCTATTGTTAAAACCTGGCCCTGTAGCTGCTCAGGCTGATCAATTTGTCAGTATTCCACGTCTGATCTCTTACCACAGCTGTGATGCAGGAATGATGGCCACCACCAACACACAAGTACCTTTCCCGTGCAGTTCCATCTTGTGTTTTGGTGCTATGCTTAAACTTTCCAGAGCTGCAAAGTCTACTGACTTGGCAGGGGCTGAAGGCAGAAGCCTGGCCATTGCTCCTCCAGCCAGCCCAGTACCTTCTTGTTTCTACAACCTGAAAGCAGTGATACTCTCATCTTGCTAGCAAGCTGAATGCATCATTTGAGGGAATCACTCAACCCACAAAAGCATTTGGTACGTGGTTCTTTCATACAAATGTCAGAAGGGATGAAGAGACAGAGGCCCTAATTGCCTCTAACCAGCTTGACTCCAGATAAGCACTGCTAAAAAGAAACATCAGGAGTGATTTCACCCACACTGGCTCAGTGGGGCCCTTGCAACCAGAGGGCACAGAGGAATGCATACAGTACAGCAGGCTACAGGAAGGAGGATAATGAGTATATAGTAAACCATGCAAAAACACAGTACAACAGCCCTTGCATTAAATGTGGGATATTTTTTGTTTTACTAAACTTTCCTTTCACTAATGGACTCTTGTTTACATCATACAGTAAAAGCCATGTGCTACATTTGTAAGGATGAAACACAGCCCAAAGATGTGGTAAAAAGACCGAGTAACATCTACCAAACCCAAGCACAGGCTGCTCAACTGCTCACATCTACTAGGGATATACTGCCCTTCAGCCCAGCTGTTGCCACCACAGCAAGCAAGTAGGAAACAGTGATGGGTGCAATGTACGAAATTCATGTCTGTTCATCCAAAAATACAAATGCTGGAGGCCTTGGTTCTCTCCATTTTGAACTACCATCTAAACTTCTATATGAGGAACTGGAGTTCTCATTGTGAAGTCTCACCTCATTCCCACAGATGGAAAATCTTGGCATTCACTGCAGTTAAGACAAACGTTAACAAAAAGGACTTAACACTGTGAATCTTTTTCCCTCAACAGGGTGGCCAGATACTCTGAATATCTTACTAAGTTCTTAGGAGGCTCTGCAGTGTCATTCACAGCATTTTTTAAATGCTATTTATCAGAATAAAGCAAGAAATGTCATCTGCATTTAGCTCCAACCCACAAACTGACTGCTCTTCTCTTGCTGGGGAATTTAAGTTAAAGATTAGCTGAATTTTGTGCAGCTCATTTTAGAAGATTAGAATTACCAGTGAAATTCTCCAGCATGTAATAATCATCTTCTCATCAATGCGTATTTTTTAGCTACCCAATTATTGCCATATTTAGATTACTCCCTGGATTGGGAGCTTGTATTTAATTACAGTATTTCACTAGTGCTTGTACACCCTTAAATCTGCAACACAGACATACTACTTATAATTAACTTTGCAGTAGGTCCAGTGTTAAAGACTCACCTCTCTTATACAGAGTTTTACAAGTCAAAAATTGTCTAATGCATGATAAATAATGCAGGCCATGTTTATGCCATGCTGTGCACAATTTGATGGTGGAATTACAAGCCTCCTTGCCAAAAAACGTCCTTGATTCTCAGGCTTCAAGAGAGTAATTGGTACCTCATATTTTCCCCTTTTTTGCACCAATTAAAACCTGCAGGTGCACTAGTGCTGTCATCTGGAATCTTGCTGGTACATCAGAGGTTATTTTCCCCAAATGTGTGCTATTAGGAAATTCAGCCCATCAGGGGAATTGTGAATGCGGTGTTTGTTGTTACAGTGCTCTCAAGGCCTTCAAATATTCTACTAGTGCAGGACCAGACAATAAATTCTTACCTCTAAAGTAAGCCCAGGTGTCATAAAAACTTAAGTTCAGTTGGAATACTACTTTCTCACTCATTCAATGTGTATTTGAAACAGGTGAATCATCTCGTCAGGACTGTCTCAGATTTAAAGGCCAGACATGACTGTTAAGGTCATCTAGGATCTCCTGCTGAACACAGACCACAAAATTTCTCTTTCTTTCTCCTGAAAAGCACTCTATCTCAGAGAGAAGCTGGGCTTAAAAAAAAAGAACAACAACAAATTAAAGACACATCAATCTTGAGATAGGTAGCAGAAACCAAGAGCCAGTGATGGCAGCAGCAAAAATATACTTGATTTAAAAGTGCAGACACTTCACTCACAGTTCCAGTGAAGGAAAATTCCACCTCCATTTTGGAAGTTTTTCCAGTGACTAACTACCCTCACTATAAAAGGTCTTCCTTGCACCATGAGACAGCAGCTTAAAAGTACTATATGCACAATGGTCAAACACTCCCCAAACTTTTTATGAGTTTTCTTTTTTTCCAGTCTATTAAATGGTAGGACTACAGTAGGCACCATGTCACTGTATGCAGGGCAATATAATGTACTTTCATAAGGTACAAATACCACTTTAAGTGACTAACTCCTAATAATAGTGGCTGAACTGGAATTTGGAAAACTGAACTCTGCCATTGCTCCTGAAGGAACTCCCCTCCCTAGCCTCTACAGAGAACAGCCAAATACCTCAATTTTTTATTTAGCTTTAAAGGTCAGTCCTCATTTAAGATTCAACTGCAGTCCCACTAAAACCTTGATAGACTTTGGGTAATTATTTAATAATTGAAAGAACTATTCTTTTGCAGCATATTTTACAGCTTAAGAGATTTAACACTGAAACAGTAGGACATCCAACACTTAAGTGCAGAGAGGTTTCTGTTTGAAAGTCTATGGCATATAGCCCTTAAAAAGTTTCCTTTGGTCCAAAGTCCTTCACCTCTAACAAGGTGTCATGTCTGAGCAGGATGCCTGAAACAGTTAAGGGATTACTGCCCCTTCAGGGCACAGCCTTATTTTGCAAAAAGCAGCCAGGAGCTTAAGGGAGTGGAACCCTAAAAGGAATTCTCTTGTTCCCAAATATAAAGACAATACTATCATCCAAATGGATTTGGGCAGAATGGCAGTGTAATAGCGCAGTCAGCAAACAAGGCCATGGCATCCTTTAACATGGCATTTACTTCCCACCACCTGTGGAGTGACAGTTTGTACAGACCCTTGTTCTGAATATGGGAAATAAAAAGGACATTCCCTCCATGCTCCAAGCTGTTTCCAGGAAACCTGTAAAAATGCCTGTTCCCATCTAGTCCCCTCCAACTCTGGGTGTCAGTTTTACAGAAACAAGTAACTAAAACAATATTTGAAAATGCCTTTAAATAAGCTGCTTAACAGTTGTTGAAAGGAACAGAAAAAAAGATAAGAAACAACGGAATTCTCAACAACTTTTTACAGCCAGAGATGATTATAAACTGTGCAATGAAAAAGTATGCACCTGGGAAGGAATTCTGCTTTCACAACACACGAAACTGATTTAAGTTTTTTTTTTCATTTTTCCTGAAGACATCTGCACAACTCATAGGGAAACACACTAATATGCTGAAACACTTCTTATTTCATCATTAACATTGTACAGAATTGAATAAGAAAAAAATAACCCCATCAAACATAAGTATCAATAAACAGACTGTAAAACCTATATAGACAAATGAGGTTATTTAATATACTATTAAGTCAAGCCTGACTTAATAAACTATAATATACTATTATATAGTATAAATAATATACTATATATAGTATATATATATGTTATATATATAAATAATATACTATATATATATACTATAAATAATATACTATTAAGTCAAGCCTGACTTAATAAACTCTACGTGAAAATACAAGTTGAGATTTGACTGAACTTCATAGACTTGAAGATTTACATATGCAACTTTTTTAAGCAGGTGCAAGGCAGGACTGCCATCAGAAACTTGAAAATAAATCCAAAATGCAGCCCTCTTATCAACTACTCTCTGGGTTTACAGTACTTAGAACAGGGCAACACTGGTTATTTTTCCTTCTCATCCAGAATTCTGTTAATGTCACTTACTCAGGACTACAGAAAATCTCCTTGAAAGTTCTAGCAACTGGAAAGACTGGAGGGAAAGCATCTGCTTATTCCTTCTACCTCATTAATAGTCAGCACCCATGTTGAATCACACTTGGATACACATGAGCTGGGTCACTGGCAGCAAAGATATTTCTACATAAACCAGGCAGAGCACACATACATCTTGGGCAGGGCTCTGTTTTGTTATACCAGGTCCCAAGTTCCCCATACTGAATTGCTGTCTAGCAGAACATGTCACACCACACTCTGAAAGACTAAGATGCTTTTGCATGGTGTAACTAGAATGAGAGTCGGACCCCCTAACTTCCAAATACCCAGATCAGAACAGGATATTAACTATGCATCTATTCAAATTTTTGAATGGATCAGCTTGTAAACTGAATAAACAAGAAGCCTGCTAGCTCATTTTCACATTTTAGAGCATTACCAGCTTTACCTTGCTTACCCTGAAGGCTCCAGTAAAGCCTCCAGGGACTAAAGCAGGAAGGACAGACTAGAACATCTGCAAAACCTTGTAATGTTTTGTTGAAATAGAAGCTTTAGTGTTTGTAGGCAACAAAATGTCTTCATTTTCTGCAGGATTCCACAGCTGCCAAGATGTCTTGAAAAATGCTGTTTCTGTTTTCTTTACTAACCTAGAGAAAGAGAAATTAAAACTGATGTAATTTGATGAATAACCTCTATATTAGTGTTTACTTCAAAAACAAACAAAGCAGAAATTCAAATGCATTTCTTTCTCAGTGAAGGAATGCTGAGTGTCAAACACCTGCCACCTTCTGCTACTGAGAACACAATAAGCTAAAGCCACAAACCTGCATATGTAATTGCACATTCAGTGATCTTTTTGATTTAATTACCCATGGTATTTTGCCGTATTATTCAGGACTTGAATAACTAACAAGAATCACTCGAAGAACCAGCATGTTCTTTTGTCATTACTAGAAATCCTTTTCAATTACCAAACATAATTTTCCTGCTATGAAGTAGTTCTTACGCCTTCAGTACTTGAAAGGGTTGTGTCTATTAGGATGACAGAGCTAGTTAAAAACTTGTGTAATGAAAAAAAATTAAAACAGGCTCAGTAGCACAACTCTAATCTGAGAAGCCTTAGCATTGCAGGATAGAAACACAGAGCTGGTGGGGGGTATAAATTACACCTTCTTGGTAGACTGGGTACTGATACAGAGCCCAGTCACCCACAGTGCATTACTCAACCAAAACCTGGGGAGATGGCTGGGGTGATGAGAGGGTTAACAAGCAATGATGAAGTATCAGCAAAAGCCTCATTCTAAAAAGCCTAAGGAATTTTCCCAACTGTTCAGATCCCTGCAAAGAGGGCAGGAATAACTCAGACAAAGACAGATGAGCCAAAAAAAAAAAAAAAGGGCATTCATTTTTTTGACAAAGTTTGAGAAATACTGCTTTATGAGGAAGGAGACACCACACTATGCATGGCATAAACCTCTCTACCAGCAAGGTTTCACTGCTTTCCTTGTAGCTGCATTTAAGATCGGATCAGACAGGTTTCCCTTCCATCCCTTCCAGTGCTACAGTCAATTCTGAACAGGAGAAAGTATTACTGCTGTTGTTTTTATTATTACTAAATGGGAGCCTACTGCTATTTACAGCATTTAGACAGGATGCCTGGAAACTAACACCGTAAACTTACAGATGGTGGCCCTGCCTATGCCACCTGAATTCAAAGATTATCAACATGGGGCTGATGAAAAAGTGACATAAAAAAAAAAAAAACAACAATCAAACAAAAAAAGCCAACCAAACCCAAAGGAAGGAAAGGGAAGATCTGCCTGAAAATATTGCTGGTTTTATTAAGTATCATTCCAAGCCTATTGTAAGATAAACAGAAAACCCCATAATAACAAAGACAGCAAGACAACAAAGAATGAAACTGCTCTTCAATAAAGGTACTGAGAGACCCCAAGGTAAACAAGGCATAGAGCATAGATCAGCCAAACTCACTGCAAGTGTCCTGATATCCTGACTTCCAAAAGACCTTCTGAACATTTTATAGCTCTTCCCATTGTCTCAAAGCCAACAAAAACTATACAACATTTTAACTATCCCTTTTCCATACCTACATGCCAGAAGTCCAGTGAGACAGCACAGAGAAAGTGCCAAGTGCTGGGAAATTTTCACAACTCTTTTACAAAGGCTTTTTCATAGATAGAGGTCTCCTCTTAAGATCTGGAGACATTCAGTGCAGGCAGCTTTTCTAGAGAGAACCAATCTCCCAATATCTATATTGAGTGCACAAACAGATGGGTACCTCTTTAGGCAGGGAGCTGAAAATAACTGTAGATGCTGCTTATTCTAAGCATTTAGGCAATTTGGAGGAAACTACCACCTAGACTCCAAGCAGGGAACAGTAGAGGACAAAAGCTTTCTTCCCCAACTGTTAAGAGTACCATCTACGAAACCCCTCTTGTGCAATCTGTTCAAATGGAACCTTTTTCTTCTTCTGATCCATTTAGCTATTTATTTTCTTTCTTAAAAGGCATATGCAATCAAACTTCACTAATGGATTTCATGGAAGCAAAATTAATAGATGGGAAAATGGGAAAAAATGAGTATGTGCCAGCTGCTAAGGATAATCTGATCCTATTTACGACGCTGTCTGCAAAACTACACAGACTATATCATTACCTCTGCAGTGCTAAAAGAGCCTCTATAGTTTCACTGGAAAGTTTGGTTCTCAGCAAAATGGAACTGGGCAACAATGGAAAGAAATGTGTTAAATATCAGAGCTACTCTCATTAAGTGCTCTAAGCATAATAAATTAAACATTTGGGACCAAATTGTCAAATGCTTTTAGGGCATCTGGGCCCGTTTACACCAACTGAATGTGCTTTCAAGACAAAAGGGACTGTAAAACCCCAAACAGCTGTCTCTCTGCTCTTAGTGTCAAACATCAGAACTCTCCTCCTGACACTAAGAGAAGAATGACAAAACTCTACTAAGTTACTTGAGTGCAGCCTAACTCCTTATGAAGCGACAAAGCAGGCATAACTTTTTTGGAAGGTGGCCACCTACTTCTGCACACTTCGAGGCACCATAAAAGTTAGTAAGGAATTACTGACTATGAGCTTATTTGGACACTCCAGGTTCTCCCCAATCCACAGCCCTTGAAGAACACAGCTGGTGAGTCAGTATTTACTTCAGCTAGTAACACCTCTGACTCCCCAGGGGCAGGTTCTGTTCCTACTCAGGCACACGTTTTAACCAGCTGGGAAAGAACACGTCTTGTGTCATTGGAGCAAGTGAGACAGATGCCCTCCTGCGTAAGACTTCAGCACAGCAGGTCTCTGCCACCTGGGAACTATTGCAGTCTGCCACACATTTCACACCCATGCTTTTGGCTAATGGATTCACCAGAAACTCTACTTAAACAGAGAAACCTGCACCTCAGAAGCATAAACAGGATGGCTCATTTTTGCAGTAAAGAACACACTGCTCCACTGACATTTACAGGAAGAGTTCCACTGGCTGCAGTCAGTATTTAAGAGAAAGGTGTATCAGCAGACTGATATAGCTAGCAACTTGGGGCTGAGTGGCATATGCCCTCAGAACACCACCTATAAAGGGAGACAGTAGAAGCCTCAAAAGCTTCCCTGAGAGCCAAATGCTGTTTTCTAGCACCGTGTTTCCTCCTCACACACTAGCACATTATTGTCTTGTCATGACTGCAGTGTAAGTACTGAACATCTGTTACTTTCAGGGAGGCATTCTCCATTCCCTCTTCCCCAGTCATACCACTGTAAAGTAAGCCACATAAAATTCACATTCACATGCATCCCTGTTCAGCAGCCTAACAGCACACATAAGCTTATCAGTAGGAAACCTGGGGTTTTATCTCTGAAAGGAACAGTAAGAGCCAAATGCTTACGTGAGTAAAGGAATCTTGTCTCGTCTTTGCTCATAGGGTTGCTTTAGCACTTAACAGGCATTTAATTTAAAAAAAAAACAACAGAAATTGAAGATGATAATGTGACCACCACCAAAAAAAAAAGCTGAGGAACTTTTCCAAGCTCTACAGTTTTACAAGTCTCACTTTGAAAAGCAAAAAAGAAGTTGGAGGCTTTGCTTTCTCTGCAATAATTAAGATCATTCAATGCAAACTGTTGAGATAGTGTATTTTCCTTACTGATCCACTCGGATGAAAACTCTGACATGCATCTGATAAAGAACAGGCTGCAGCAGTATACTGCTCTACAGCATATTAACCCTGCTACTAAGCCAAGATGTTTACCTCCCACTTCCTGAATTTATAATTTATAGTTCAGTTTTGGATATATAGCCTTACTCTCTCCTACAAATAGTATACACTGAGTAGAAAAAGAAAACAAAAGAGTGGGGGTTGCATTTAGCTTGGTTTTGTGAAGCATCCAGGACATTTGCAGATGTTAAGGAAGCTTCACACATGTATTCCTGTGAACAGGCTACGTTTTGTTGTGGTTAAGTTTTTGAGAACCCCCCTGTAAGTGATCAGAAATGCACTTTGAGACCCTAATATTCTGAAAATGATGTCTGTAAAGTAACATGATGAATTCCAAAATTGATTCACTGACTCCATTTACAAGTGTCTGTCCTCTAGAAGCGATTTCTGCAAACTCCACTACATTTTTTTTCCCTTGAATATGATTACTAGTAAGACTTCTGCATGTTAGTCTAAAAAAGAAAGTAAGTTCAAAAATCTGATTGTACTTTGAAAGATTTAACACTCAGGAATAATGAATGCATACATGGCAATAATACTAGAGCAAGAAAACCTTTTAAAACAACTATATCATTACTTCTGCAGCCCCTCACAAGCAAAGCCAGCTGTGTAAGACTGCTATGGTAAGTGTCAAATGTAAGTTTTTTTTTTCTTTTTTAATAAGGTGAACACCTGCCCATTAAGAATAAAACAGAAACTGAAAAACTCATTTCATATAAGCTACCCACAGCTATCAACTGGTAGTAACAATTGGTTTTTAAGCAGAGCAAAATACAAACCAGCAACCTAGAACAGAAGGCTCTTTAAGGGTATTAAATATTACTCACATTGAACACTTTAACATCTTTTCTATTTCTTATTTCTTCAACAAGATCCAGTGGCTTTCCCTTAGGTATTGGAATAGTTCCAAGCACCACAGTCCCTGAGCCAGTGAGTGTCTGACGAACAGCTTGAATAAAAGCCTGGCTGAAGAGCTCCATTTTACCAACCTCATCTATGACGCAGATTTTTTTCTCTGCATCACTGCTACGGTTTACCTGTGGAAAAGTGCATCAAGAGACTGTAAACAATACAGAACTTAGAACAAGTAACAGTAATAATTTCTATGCTAATAAAAGAAATAACTCCAAAAGAAATCAATTCAATTGTAATATAGGTGGAAATTGGAGAAGTCAAAGCTGCTGCTGGTGACAGACTTATAAATCATTTCTATTTCAGCACAGATTTTTTGGAAAGATGAAAATATATATACAGCATAAAAGCTCACTACGATATGAAATATCCATAATATCAGTTTGCCTTCAAAGCAGAATTCTCACAGTGGTCCTACATGAGCTATCTGACAATTGTAAACTGCATGTTGTCTACTAGCAGCCATCAATCAATCTGAGGGACACCAATTTTTCAAACTTCACTCTTCCCATCAAATTATGCATTTAGAATAGATGAATATCCACACAAGTATTAAAAAAAATATAAAAGATTTGCATTAAACCTTGATTTGGAAATGTCTCTTCTTGTAGCTGGGTCAAATAATGGTCAAAACTAGCATGTCTCTCAAAACAATTGGCTTTCTTCTAAGCTATCTGGATAAGAACCAAGCTATTTCCAAGCCTCTCTCACATCAGAACACTCATCTTCCATTTCTTTGTCAAGATACAGCTCATTCTATAGTCCTACCATCCCCCTGGATTGCAGGATAGGCACCATACTAGCAACTGACCATATCTGTGGTTTGTTTGCTTTTTTCATAAAGCGAATACTGTGCCAAATAGCACTGTGCTGCAGAGTGGTGTGAGCAGCAGGGAAGTCTAAGAGAGAACTTAGGTGAATGCCACTGGAGAAAAGGCAATTTGGAAAGCAGAGGAACTTTTCAGCAGAAAAGGAAGTGCACTGCCTACCCTCTCTTGGTAAAAGTAACCTTGAACTGTACTCCATCACTTACAGAAGTGAGGAGGAAATCAACTCAAGTCAAAACATCACCGTAGATTCATGAATATATACCAATACCAGCCATATCACACAGAACATAAAAAAGAAGGAAAAAAAGAAATCAAAATATTTTCCCCTGTGAAGGCAAAGTATTTGTTTCTGGGAAAGTGGAAGAAGTGTATAACATGCATCCTAAAATCTTTTCAAGCTAAGTCTCTGCTGAGTAGCTGTTTTATCTAAAATCCTTTTATAGATCAGTGAGCTAAAAAGCCAATACTAGTCACTAGGTCACACATTGAGAAACAGAACATTTTGCTTTGAAAAAAATATCCTCAGTCCTGCCTGGTAAAGTTTTCAGACCTGACAGATTATCCACTGTAGGATCTATCCCTGTTCTTACTGCAGTGAATGAGATCCAAGCCTTGTGAGCTGAATCTGTCCTGAAGACTAAATGGGAAAATGCCCACTCTGTCCTGCTCTCTGATCAAACCAGACCATACCTATGACTCTCCTGCCCTCTTTCTTCGTCACTTCTTGTTTCTGTTCTATGATATTCCTCACTCTCCTCAACTTCCATTTTGTGCCACTTACATGCATGACTGCATTCCCACAAAACTGATAACTGATTAACAGCACTTTCAATGACAAAGCCAATTAACAACCAGAAAAACTCAACAGTGCTAACACCCTTCTACAGCAAGATCTCTCCTGGACTTCACATACAATCAGTAAAAGGATTCTGAGTACAGTGCTGGCTTAATGAAGTCTGTTTTATTAAACTATCTATTTCCTAACATAGTAAATCAAGTTACAGTGAAATTAAATAAATGAAAATATGCCCCATTTTATTCATACTTCCTTTCTTCCCTGCCCCCAACATTTCTGCTTCCCTGCTCTCAGACTTTAATGTTCCTTCACAAAACCAAGAATCAGGTCCTCAATCTTATTCTTGCTCCTTGCACCTCTGGTTGTTGGGGTTTTTTTTTATTCTTTCAAAGTTCAAATAAAAAGTCTCTTCTTCCTTGGCCCCTTGAGCTTTGGCAGAGCAGAAAAATCACAATACGATCTTTTTAGTAGTGCAGTTCAGTAGCTGCTGCACACTGCTTATGATATATGTCAAAACCAGATCTGTTCTTGTTTAATTTTGGAGAGGTAAAAGGTAGGAGTGAGAGAGAGGAAGGAGAAGGCAAAAGGCCAGAATAAAATGTCAGGAGAAAGATAGGAAAAAGACTGTGTAGAAAGTCTTGTTACAGTCAGACCACTCCTTCTGCAGCAGACTAATTATCAGGCTGCTATTATCAGTTAAAACCTACCACTCTGCAGGTACTTACATAGTGGTAATAAAAAGTAACCAGTGGATTCAAGAAACAAATGTTTCTACTGGAAGAAGATGGGAATTGGAACAAGAGGGGAAAAAAGGGCTGTAAAGAGCAGCAACAAAGGCCTTTTTCTTTCACTCACTGATTCCACCCAGTTCTGTGCAGTAGGAACTCATGCATTTTGTTTGCTTTCCAATATGCAAGACAGTGGCATTGGAAGAAACTTCCTATCAGCTATCTCTCAGGCTGAGGAGGTCCTGCTCACAGAGTGATGTCAGATCAGGAATGAGTGGTGACTGTAATCTCCCCAAACACCATGTTAAGCACAAAAGAGCAAGTCAGATTTGCCCCTCCAGCTTCCTGATGTCAATTGGAATAAGCGATACCAAAGAAATAGGCCATTTATTAATATCTAAAACTAGCGCTCTAGAAGGGCCTTCCAATAACACTGATTATCATAAAGCATCATTTTTTCAGCAGCTTTGATAGAATACTCACATTTCTCAGCATAGGTAGAACCAACTGCTCAAATGAAACAACATCTACAACATACTGTCCGACCCGACATTCACATCTTGAAGCAGAAGAATCAGAACTGAATTTGAAAAAAGGAGATACACAATTCCTTTTAAGTAATGAGTTTAATGAAAATTCACTGCAGTCATTTCAAGTGGATTTATGAGAAGTTATCCTAATAAGTCAGATCCCCTTAATTCTTCTAAGGAAAGCAAAGAAACTCTGTAAATCATTCATTAAGTCACATTGCGTCAAGCACACTATCAGGTAATAAATACAGGATAAGATACCTTCACAACTATGCAAACTCCAATTTGAACAGTGTAAGGAAGGACAATGGGATCTAAAAGCCAGAAGGTATATTTACAGTGAAATCAAAGTACATGCCTTCAGTTCAGATCTTTGAATTTGGTGACATTACAGACACAGAAGTAGCCCAAATCCCAGTATGGGCTGCAAAACCCCTAAACAATCTCAGAAAAATATTCAGTTTGCCTCTGCTGCATCACACTATCCTACGCAAACTTCCTTTATTACCAACATGCAAATTATTTAGTAATATCACCTATGTCTGAGGGAGATGCTAGTGGCACACCTGGACCTAGACTACATTTTGCACAAGGCACGAAAGGCTAAGTCAAACAGGAGAGACTGTGAGCCCCTCTGCCCTTCAAGAGGCCCCCACTCTTAGTGGGCATCCAAAGCTCTTTCTTACCTAAAATTCACATATGGGTTTGGTGGGTCAGTCAGTGGCTCTGGAAAACAATGTTATATGCAATTTCTTTTTTATTTTCCACTTCTGTCTCTATAAATTAACTTGTGGAAAAAATTATGTTCCTCCTTGCCTATAAAAAGTTATTTCTGTAAACCAAGAGCCTTAGCCTCACAATAAAAGGCTCGGCAGTGCTTCCTTCCTATCTGGTGTAAAATAAGCAGTAAGAAAGAACACCCTTCCCTAGTACATTTTCAGTATTTCATTACACAGTAGAAACATACATTGTCTACATACACCATATAGGTGTCCTGGCTGATACAAGAACTGAACAAAGAACCTGACCATAAAAGCAATATGTGTGCTGGAAATCCCCTGTTGAAAGAGCACTTAACATGCCGACAGGCTAGAGCAGAAGCATAAAACAATAGCCACTTGCAGTTATTAAAATCTCAGTACCTGACTCTAGATAATGGTCCTCGTTTTCCAGACAAAGTGACAACATCAAAACCTGTTCTCCTGCCACCTTCTCTAACTTCCTCTGTGTAAAATCCGTCAATGGAAGTGCCTGCGGATTTTAGAGCTTGAGTGACTTTCTGGATCAAAGTAGTCTTTCCAACCCCTAAAAATGAAAAAACAAAAAGCACACAGCATTAATCTTCTACACTAAAATCCCATTTTTAAGCACCACAGTAATGATTCAGTTCACCAGAAGCATTGATTACTTTCTGAAGTCCGCAAATTGCTTTTTTAAAATGGTAGGAAAGAATAGAAGCACCTTTTAAAGTTCATCCTGTACCAACACTGTAATGTTTTATTAGCCTTTAAGAAGTGAGTCTACAGTGAAGTCTTAACAGAATGGTACAAATATTCCAGACTACCACTGAACTTTTTATGTTAGATAGCACACGGTCAAGCCGCAAAGCTTGCCCCAAGGCAGGTAAATACACAAAATCCATACTTCTACACAACTGATACTCAAGCTAGCTGGAAGACTGACTGATGCATCTCCCTTTCCACCACTGCTGTTCACTACTCTTTAAAAACAGAGCTGAGTTTATCCCTCGCTCATAAAGTCAAGGCTAACTGCTATTACCAGAAGCCTACCTAACACAAAGGACACACTACCTCTATTGATGTCCTAGAAATTGGAAGCACCCAGTGCCCCTGAGATCAGGTCCTACATGGCAAAAAGTATTTCCAATAAGAAACATGCTTCTTATGCTAACTGAAGTACGAGGTTTTGACTAGATATAGGGAAAAGGTTTTTTTATCATGAAGACAATCAAGCCAAGGGACAGGCTGCCCAGAGAAGCTATGTAGTCTTCAGGTTCTTTGCAGTTTTCAAGTCTTGACTAGATAAAGCCTTGAACAACCTGGTCTGGCCTCACAGCTGACCCTCCTTTACATGTCCTGAGGTCCCTTCTCACATGAATTATCCTGTGTTCCTATTTTCATACCCTGACACAGATCCTTAAAACCCTGGCCACCAGATGTTTACTGGCACAGTCTGATGGACCTTCTACGGTGTGAACATCGGCCATGTTCCAGACACCCTCTTTTACCACAATGATCTATTTTTTTCTCCTTTATGATTGCACACATACTTCCCTTGACAATCTCCTTTTAAACTCAACTTTATCACCTCACACAAAATTTAGTGCTATCACTTAGCTTTTAATAATTGCTGTAACAAAGTCAGAAGATATAAAACATCCTGCAGAATAAACCTTCAAATTCCTGGAGACAAGGCATATAGACCAAATGTAAGGTGCCCAATGGTGCGAACAGATGGCATTTTAACATGTACATACCAAATTCCTTGCTTAAGTTTTAAGCACATTTAGGACCTACTTTCTTAGTAGTATCAATAACAAAATGTTCTGTGGCTTCAAGGGCACCTAGTCAAACCATTAAGCCAACTTTTCAGAACTGAAGCCAAAGGGATTCCTGGCATTTGAACAACAATAAAATGACAAGTGTGGCACTGTCGGTATCTACCATCTTTCTGAGGCCTTGTCTCTATAAGCAAATTCATACTAATCTGGCTAAGTAAATCTGCCATCTCTACTTTTGTTCACTCAATAAATTGCCAAAGAAAGCTAAAATGATTCAAACTAAGTTTAAGAAAGCTTAAAATTCTACAGTTAGCTAATCAAAACAGTACATTCCATTTCAGTTAAATGAACAGAGACAAGGCCTGAGCAAGCCTTCCTGGAAGGCTGCCTTCATTCAAGCGCACAGAAAGACAGAATGATGGTGGTGGAATGTACTGCTATCTCAGCCTAGCAGAGCAATTAATTCTAAGTTAATCCCAGACAAGACAGGCATTGGCAAAAGGTTCACTGAAAGGATAATTAAGCCCACTGTTTTACTTCCAGACATAAAAGAAAGCTTTGCAGTTATAGTAACTGGCTTATTTATCAAACATTTAGCTGAATCCTCATAACTACATCCCACAAACTACTCCACCACTTCAAACAAGGTCCGCCTACTTGGGATACCAATTACTACCTATGATGATGGCTTGACTTCACGAACAAAGGTTTAGGAAGGGCTTTACCCATGCTTACTACAAGCCTGCTGATGATTAAAAAGGCCAATGTGGTACAGGCAAATCCAGTTGCAAAAATCACAGCAAAAGGTCTCCTTAGGTGGTATAGGTGAGGCACGATTCTTTCTACATTGTCTTTTCTCCTCGAGACTAATTCTGCTTGTGTTCTCAAAGGAGACAACAGCATTACGTATGGTGTGCCTCCAAGTCTCCCAATTGGAGGCCAAGGTGGACCGCTGGTGGTAGTCAATATGGCCAAGGCTGAGGTATTGTTTCAGGGAGTCCTTATATCTCCTCTTTGGGACACTTCTCTTGCGGCAACTGGTGGTGAGTTCACCGTAAAACACAATCTTAGGGAAGTGGTGATCCTCCATCCTGGAGACGTGCCCTGCCCTGCCCAGCGCAGCTGCGATTTCAGCAATACGGCCTTGTTATAAAAACCTAAAATCGCCAATCTGTTTTAACTGGTTTTTATTGTAATTAATATCAAAAGGCAATAAGCAAGCAGCGCTGGGTGCGCCAGGGAGTCTCTACTCCACCTAAGCCGCACAAGGGGAACTTCTGGGGATAGTCTCTTATACTTTTTGGTCTTGGGTTTCAGCCAATCCTGTTGTCTTCTTTTCCCGGGCTTCCTGGGTTTCAGCCAATCCTGTTGTCTTCTTTTCCAGGGCTTTTCCTCCTGTTGCTGGGGTCTTGCCTCCGGGTGAAGAAATATCTTAGAAAGGTTACTAAACGTCTTGGTAATGCATTAACAGGAAGATGTCTATCACAAGTCTGACCGCCATCTTAGCCCCCATAAATTCCACTCCTTATATGTTTATTTGTTCAGCGCACAGATTTCACAACGTTCTGTAACAGGACATATCTCTAAGTTACCTACCCCCCCCCCCCTTTTCTAAGAACATTCATGCAATTTAAACAATGAATTTCTTTGCACAATATTGCGGTTGACCCAAGGGAATTATTCCCTTGTTTCTTCTTCCTCCTCACTGTGGTATTGACAGGGACACTTATCATACCCTTTGCACATAGCACAATGATCACAAGGGATTCCAGCTCCACACAAAATGCAGTGATCACTAGGACCCCTGAGCTGCTGACACGAATCACTCTGACGTAACTCACAGCCTCGATACCAGATAACTGAGCATTATTTAGGGTGAAAGTGCTAAACTGCTATAATTAAGTTCCAGAAAAGGTGAGTGCTCAGAAATGTGTCCTGGTTGCAGCTTAACTCAAGCAAGTTAGCTGTCCAGGAGTTGTTTTTTTGGTTTGTTTTTTTTTTTTCCCTAACATCGAACTGCTGGAGCCAAACACAAATCAGAAGCATCCAGAAACCTACATGACATGGGATCAGACACGGAGCCAAAATGGACTTTGATTACGAGCAAATTAACGAATGCGACAGCTCCGACCTCCACCTGCAATACTCAGGGAGTGGAGCAGCTACAGGCCTACACACCGGCAGCCGGAGTTGCCTGGCAGGCAGCTGCTGGGCCCGGTTGCCACAGAAGGGGCCCCGTTGCACTCTGGGCCGATACTAGGGTCCACCAGCAGGTGCCTTCCCTTAGCTATAAGGGCTTTGCAGCCCCGCAAGTTCACAGTGCGGGCCGGGCCGGGCCGGGCCGAGCCGAGCCAAACCAGGCCAGGCCAGGCCCCCGGGCAGCCCCTGCGGCGGCAGCGCCCCCCCCACTCCCGTTCCCCAAACTCCTCCTGCCCCCGTTACCTGGGGGTCCCGTAAGAAAAACGTGCTTGGACATGGCGAAAGCCACAAAACACGCTCCACCTTCTCCGCACCAGACGCGGCCCGGCTGGCGGGAGTGACGCGCTGCACCGCCCCTCGCTCCGCCCCCGGCCCGCCTAGAAGCTGCCGCCGCCGCTTTTTGCTCACGGGGTGGAGTCGATTGTGTTGAGGCGCAGTGGGGCGGTTGCGGTTGAGCAGCGCCGAGTTCGGCCATCAGTACACGTTCACCTCAGCACCACATCGGCACCCTGAGAGGTGCCCGCCGCGAGTCACTGTACCGGGGGTGCCTGGTACGGCGGTTCCTGTGGCCCTGGGTTGCAGCGCCTAGGATAGGGTTTACGTGCAAAGCTCGGACAGCTGCTGAGGAGACCCTGGCTTTCCCCATGGAGACCCCGGAGCAGCCCGCGTGCGCCGGCGGGCCGAGTCTTCCCGCCCCGAAGGGCCACAGGGCTCCGACGCTCGACGCTGAGGGTTGACGGGGCCTGCCCAGCCTGTGGCAGGCTCGGAGGCGTGGCCGGGAGATGGGCTGCTGCTGTGGTGCTTCGCAGGAGGTGGACGTTGGTTTAGGTTAGGGGAGAAGGGGAAAAACCAATTAGTTTACTAAATGTGGGTCAGCATTTTCTTTATCGAGTCAGCCTGACCTGTTCAGTTTCTGACCATGTTAAGAAAGCTCTCTGTAGAGAGCAGTAAACAATGTGCACCAGGATGCAGCAAACCAGTCAATTAAAAGATGAAGGGGCTGTCTGATACTTAAGTGCAGACAGCAAACGTAACTAGGATGTTAATATGCAACTAGGGGACTGTTATGAAGCTGAGCGAATAGGGTCACAAATGAGAAGGCTTGGCAGGTTTAACAAAGACACTGACAGATACCTGTCTGCATCCCAAAACATCATATGCATGTGGCCCTCTGTATTTGTTTAGGCTTGGGTGATGGGGAGCTGTAAAACACCAGGGAAAAGGATTTCTCTGTGGAAGGCTGCAATGCACGTGTTGAAGTCTGGGTGAGGTGATGTCCTACCACTGAAATGTGCTGATCCCTGCCTGGCCATAAGCAACAAAACGGTTACCCAAAAATACTGAGGTATGGAAGGGGTACATCCTGGTTGTTGCTTGCTTCGGCTTGAATGGATCTCTTAAGGTTCAGCACATCCTTGTCTGGCTTTCATTTTCAGTAATTTCCCAAGGATTTATAGGTTGTTAATCATTTTCACAAAGTCAGTATCCTTGTCAGCCAGATGAAATCCATAGATCAGGAAGCAGAGTGTACATCTCAGTAGACAGGTATTTCCGTCTATTGAACAAAATATTTTTGATGCATATGTCACATATGGCCACTCTTCTTTGCATTGTTTTTTATTCCTAGCAGGATGAAGAGCAACCCTCTTTTAGTGATGTGCATCTTTAAATATACAATACTTTCAGGGCATCTAGGATCAGTGTAGAACAGTGGGTCACCTAAAAAGGTGAAGGATGCAATCAGCTATTTCACTGCATAATAAGAGTACCTTGTACCACTATGGTGCTGGCTTCTGAGGAAAGCAGAAGTCTCTTTCAGTCTCAAGTTATGCTCCAGTTAAGGGTCAACACCCTCATGAGGTAGAAATTATCATCACCACTTTCAGAAGGAGAAATTGCAACAAAGTGGTGTTATGAGGTAGAGTTAATAAATTACACCTTTGATCCCCTTGGTGGGATGCAGAATCAGAGCTGATGCCTAGGATCCCAAGATAATACAGAGAGTATGGAAGCTTGCCAGTAGGAAATGTAAAGAGGATGCTTAGAAACACTCCCTGCCTAGCCTTAAATCTAGTGCAATGTTTCAGGATGATAGGAATATTTCTCTTTAGCTGGGATAGATAAATCAGAACTTTCTACAGCTGCTCTATTGTTGGAGGTGAAGCACTTCTGCTTTATGTAATAGGCTACCGTTTAGTCAAATAGTAGGAAACATACATCCTTTTCAACTGCAGCCTCAAGGGAGTTGAAATCTATATTGTCCATTTGCCAGGAGAGTATCATAGAATTATAGAATAGTTAGGGTTGGAAATAAGCAAATTCACAGGCTCTTCCTATTAAGGCTGAGACATGGTACAGACACAAATCCAAGCTGATTGGGCCGCACAGAGCACAGTTAAGGTGTTAATGTAGAGGAGGGAAGACCTAGTTTCTGCCTTCTGCAGCATTGTACAGTCACGTATTACATGATCCATATGCTTTTGTTTTATATAAAAGTTGGGGCATCATCAGAAGAAAAATTTAAGACCGGGGTTGTTTGTATCATAGTTTACAACATCCATACCTTTCTTTGGCCTAACTGCTTCACTGTGTCTGGCCAGGAGTCAACTCAGAGGGGAGATCATAATTCGGAATTCTTGTTTGCCTGTTCTCTGCTTTCACCAATAACTGGATTTAGCTAATATATCATTGTCTTACATAATGACTTTTATTCCTCATTTCACATGAGTAGTATGGAAACTGTTTCATGCTTAAATAATTAATGAAAAAAATTGACAATTCTGGCATCCCTCTTGGGGAGCAGGAAGGTAGAGAGGTAAAAAAGACAGCTTCCCATGTCATCTAAAATGAAAACTGTGTTTTCCTAGTTTACATTCCAGTACTTTATGTTTTTTTTCAGGAGCAATGCACTTGTGATGTTAACTTACAGCTTCCTGCAGGTGTCTGTCAGGCATCTTTAATGCAAAGAAAGAACCACAGAAAAGACCTGCATTACTTACTACTAACACAAGACTACTAACACAAGAACAACACTTTCTAACTGTCTACTTCACCTTTACCCTGAACTGTGTAGAGCTTACTGTAATTGATTTTACAGGTAGTTTTTTTTATATAATATTAAATTATTGGCTGGTTGCCCAGGCAGGCCACATAAAGAGATTCAGACCATATTGTTTTGTTTGACATAGAGCTTTAGTAGATATTATAAATTAACCTTTAATTTTCAGAAGCACATGTGGAGAATTATAGGCTATCACTACTGTTTGACAAAGACCCTGATTTTTGGTACCATATTTGGAGAACCATTTCATCCTGTTTCCAGATACAGGACTCTGACACTTATGTTTTTATGTGGCTAAAACTTTGGTCTTGCAAACAAACGTTTCAGTAAAGTAGTCGCAGCATCAAGGATTAAATTAGCATTCCACTTTGATTTCCATTGTAACTTGTACCATAAAATGTTCTCTCCTTCTGGATGTACTTTCCTGTTAAGAGGACCTTATGCTTGCTAAATGAATTGGAAGTTTTACGATATGTTGTCAAAGATTTCCTATTCAAGTTTGTTCCCTTTGATATATTTACTTTATAATCTAGTGACCACACAGAATGTGCACTTTGCTCAAGAAGCATGAGCTGCAGTGTGCAAATTGTCTTCTGTATAGCTATGTGCTATAACCAGTAGTCTTTGGAGTTAGCCTTTGTGCTCTCCTAGTGATGGGATTTTTACATTCTTGGCTAGAGATGGTTAGCTGAAATAAGTAGAAAAGCACATACACTGGAAGTCTGGAAAAGGAAAAATAGACAACACAGGTTTTACTCCTTTTAGGATGAGGAGAGAAGAACCCAGCTTTTCCTCTTCTAACATGGGTAACTTAATGAGAGGTCATTTATTCCTAAAAGGTTTTCAGCTAAAAATATTTTCCTGTCCAAGTACCTAGACTCTGGCTTTGGTAGGAGACATTCGGTTAACTAATTCAACTGATGCTGAATTAAACTGTATAGTTGGGCAAGGACATGCACAAAGTATTTACAAAAGTCTGGTGCTTGGAAAAGACCTTTTCTGGAATACCAGGGCCAGGCTGTGATTCTGGGTGACCTGTGGAGACCTTGGAAGAAGCTGCCAATCATTGTTACAAACTGTTGATTAAGCCCTAGGGAAGCCTGTATTGCTGGATGTTCACTAAAAAAAGACTTGGATAGAGTCCTAGATCTTTATGTTGAATGGGGTAAAATTAATTAACTACAACTTTCCAGACCACTGACTAAGAAAAGAGACCATTTATATTTATGGTATTCCCTAGAGTAGAAGCTGGAAGGAATGAGAGTGTAATCTACCGTCTTTGATCTGCACCCTCAACTGGGCAGTAGTTTACATTTCAGCATTCTGCCTCAAGAAAGGCTCAGTACATTGCTATGGTTTTAGCTCTTGGTTTATCTGGTGTTAGGTTTATTTTGTTGTTGCTTCTTGTTTGTTTTTTTTTGGTTGTTTTTTTTGATGGTAGGTGTGCGGGTGGGGGGTTTTGGTGGGTTGTTTTTTTTTTGGTGGGGGGTTGTTTTTTTTTTGTTGTTGGTTTGGTTTGGTTTGGTTGGTTGGTTGGTTGGTTTGGTTTGTTGTTTGTTTGGGTTTTTTTTTTCCCACATGGGGGAGGGAATGGTTAGGTTGAAACCCTTGTTCTCTAGCTGAATGTGTCTTTTTGATTCATGGTACCTCAAGTTTGTACAGCATTTTATTGCATTAGGATAGGGAAGTACACTTCATTTTTTAAAAGAGATTTAATTTTAGATTTCCTGACTTTGTTCTTGTTCTCACTTGCAGAGAATGCTTCTGCTCACAGATAGTGGGGCTAACTGTATACCACTGGCCATCTACTGATAATAATGATGGTATTTCTGATGTGACTTTGTTTTGGCTGTGGAGTAATCACGTCATCAGCAGGTGTCTAAGAATAAGCACTTAGCATCTACAGCCTGCCAGTCTGTAATCTTAAACTTCCCAGAGAGATAAGCCATTAGCTGCATGCAGGGCCTTCTCTAGATGAAAACTGTGGTACTCCCACTGTCAGTGACTTACCTATGAATCTTTTGTGTGTGGTTCATGCAGTAGAAATCCTTTATGTTCCATCAGTTGTTGTGTTCCCAGAACAGAATTTCCTGTATTTCCTGAAAATACAGACATAAATTATATCAAATGTTACAGATACCCTCTATGTGGAAGTTGGAGAATATTTGTGAAATTGAATTTACTATTGTAAACAGGGACCAACCAACCTTCAAAGGATGTAGTACTCTGTCTCTACCAGCATGGACCTCTGGGGCAATTGCAGCCAATTTAGAGAGAGGAAAAATATAA